ATCGACACGAATTATCATGTATATATATGATATATTGATATGTGTAGTGTTTGATATTTGTGCAAACAATAGAATTGTATCAATGCAACAAAAAGCAACACGAATTCGATTAGATGGTTCGGCTACCTGCTCGTCGAATAAAATGAAAACGAACATCGAAAACGACCAATATTATCAGCTACCTATTTTAAGTTTTTTGTCGATGAATTTTTGGTTCTTTGAACTTTTATCGAAATGAATGATTTTTTTGTTGTGGTTGGACGGCATTACCTAATCGACGGCATTTTATGCCATTACCAATATGAGACGCTCTATTTATCTACACACATATTGATTATGCTGTCAAACTCGAACAAATTAAAAACGTGTCCTTTGCCATGTAGTTCATATCACGTTTTATGCACGATATCAATATCGTCATATTACAAATTTATGTTCTTTTTCTTCTTTTTCGGTTTTGGGATTTACGTCGAACGATAAATATGAGATAAACGAATTCTGGAATGTAGTCTGTTATCGTCTACACGACCCAAAACTTCGTGTCATTTTCAAAAATTAACTATTCAAAAAAAATATATATATTTGCGTATAAAAAACGGTGTAATATTTGCAATTCCAAATCGTCATAATAAAAAAACGTGTATGGTTATTTTTCGCGTCATATTTGAAAAAAGAAATTGTCTGCCGTCATTTGAAAAAAAAAGGAGAGCAAAACGCAAATGTATTTTAGAAACATCAAACGAATCATCCGCCAATTCGATTATTTTGTGAATAAAATTCAATCGCGTTTAAAATTTCATTACACACCAAAGTTTCGTACATTTTTAGATTGGATGACTATTTGAAATTATCAGATTTGTTATCAAACACCATGAAAAAAATATGTAGAACAAAAACACATGGATTTTAATGACCCTTAGCCACTTGAAATGAGTCAAAGTGTCAAGCGAAGATGATATGACAAAATACAGAAAAAAATATATAAACAAATGCAATTTGTTTCTGCTGCCATGCTTATTTTCAGTGTGGTTCAGTCACTGTAAATTCCATTGGCGATACATTAGCATTTGATTTTATAATAATAATTTTGCAGTCAAGTGAATCGAAAGAAAAACGCACTGTTATACTGTGGCTGGTTTTTTTCTCGAATCGATAAATTCTAGCTTACACAACTGCAAAAATTGACTCGCTTCAGTTGCGACTCCGATACGAGGTGGTGAAGTATTACTATTTTGCAAGTGTAGCAACAAGCAACAGTTGTTACATTATATTCGTTTCTATGTGCAGTAAATCAAAATAGTAAATAGATATATGTTGACTTCATTGGCCAACGAATTGAACGAACGAATGAACGGACAAAACGAACGAACGAACGAGCGAACAAGAGTTAGAGAGCGCAACGAAGAGAGAATGATTTGATCAAAACACGTATGACCATTTGATCAAAATGCGTGACGCAAATGGTTCCTATACACACAACGCTCAAAACATGCAAATGTGTGTCTAAGCATGTGAGGCGCATACGCACGAGCGAATGGCCAACCGAATACGAACAACATCTACAAACAATTGACTGCTCACTCTCTTTCTCTCTCTTTTTCTTTCTATGTATTGTATATGAAGCGACGCAATAAAATATCTTCTGATGAACCGATTGTTATTATAATTTGTTACCTCTACAATATGAGCGTATGCGTTCGCTTTATAGACATTTCGTTTGTTTCGAAGTCTCTTTACTTCGTCCATTCCACACGAATTTGCATTATACGCGTATTTTCTGTTTCTACTCTACGTTTCTTCGTTTCATTTTGTCAGATCACTGCATGATTATGAGAATCTATATGAATCGCACGAATAACGATAATGACAGATGAATAGAATAAACGGGTGCGATAGAGATGGCACACCAATAAACGGAGACAAACATCACTAACGAAAAAAAAATACTGCACGCAAACAAGGTGAATGTGATGGAATGAGCTGTGCTGCTCTGATGTTTGTACACAATATGAAGCCGCACTATGCGAATACCATGTGGTTGCTTTCAAATGTATCTTTATTATTATTGTTGGACGGTGCCGTATCACTACTTACATTACTTGCTAACTTATACTCGATGCTTTTTACCTAATCGAATATTTATTTATAGCGTACCGTTCGTTTCAATACCGAAGTGTCTGAATGTTGACTTGTTCAGTCATTAAAATAAACTCGATTCAGTGTAAAATATGAAATTTTTTCAAACATTTTCATTTCCTCGACCGCAAACGTAGTGAATTCACCAAATGAGCGGAAAACAAGTTGAAAAGCAATTTTTTTGAGAATGAATAAAAAAACGAATGCAATGGACGGAATGATATATATTCTTCACTTACCTGTTGAAGCTCTGGTCACTTTTCCTTTGCCTTTGCCGGACTCCAAATTAGAACACTTCAACAGCATTTTATTGTCATTTAATTTGTGAGTCAGGTTTTTCATTTGTTGGCCGTGTGTTGTTGCTTGACAGCTTCACAATATCGAATTTGATACTTTCGTTTCGAATGTGTTCACTTTTACATTAATTACTTAATTGGAATTTAATAGGAAGCGTTTAAATATGTTCAATGAGAGCGAATAAAAAAGTACACACCGATAACACACGATAGACTCAAATTTCATTACAATGCGATAATTCTTGACTGCTGTTTTCTATTGTTGTTGTTATTGTTTTTTTTTTTTTTATTGGAAAACTTTGTTGTTGTTATTGTTGTTCAATTCAATTGATTTGTCATATCGGTTAGAATATTCGGTGTTGAAAAGAAATGCATATTCAAATCGAACGTTATTCCCCGTGTCTAGTGATGTGCGCGTTTAAAGTTCACTTTTTCGTTCGTTTACGTATGGCAGAAAAACAACAACGGGCGGTATTACACATTCATTAGCAGCAAGGAGAGGAACACAAAAAATACACAGGCGACGTCAGCACACCGAAGCGCATATACAAATCATCAGCGGCGACGATGACTGGTCTGTAAAAAAATAAATAAACTAAAAATGACGATCGTTCAGCGATTTTGACACGAGTGCTCTCGTTTGTTGTGCTGTTTTATTCTTCTTCTTCTTCTTCTTCTTCTTTTTATTGCAATTGTTAGTTTTTATTAAATGCGTTAACCAAATTAATATGGTTCGGCTTTAGAATTGTATGTCTATGTATTACTTTTTATTGGCAACAAAATTGGTCGTGTGCACGCACACAATTTTTCATTCTCTTGTTTTGCATTCAGAGTCGTCGGTCGTTTTGCTAAATAATTGCTCAATGACTGTAATAATTGTGATGATTTTGTTTATTGTGAATTTCGCGTGCATTCAGTATCCTCTTGTCATCTCTTTTACACTTTTTCTTCGTAGCGTTGATTTTCGTTTTTTCTCTCTCAAATGAATAAAAAAAACTCAAATCAGGATGACGTTGAATGTATGTTAAAACAAATTCTTTTTTTCCTATATGATTTATGCACGGCTTTCTTTTGTTTACTTCCTTAAAACATATGACGAAAATTGATTTTGATTTAAAAAAACCAACACTATTTTTGTCAAGTTTAATCACGAACTATTGTTATTTTACTTGCTGTCAAGAATTTTCTGTGTCCTAAATCACAATCGCTTGAGCGTTTTCAATAAAAAAAATAAAAAAAAAATGTATGAATAAACACACACGACGAGCAGCAAAAAAATGTGCGACAGCAAAATGTCACCACACAAAATGAGCCAATAATAATTTTTATTCAGCAATTTAGTAGCGCGATTATTCAATGTATTTGTAGCATACAAAAATGCGAATCGGCTTGACTTCGGCTACCATAAAACAATATATATAAAACAAGTATTATGTCCCTGTCTAGCATGTATGCGATCAATTCAATCCGATTTCACTGTGTATCGACGCGTTAATTTATATCAAAAGAAAAAGAAGAAGAAAAAAAACAACAAGCTTGTTTATTCAGTTCTACTAGTTTAGACGTACTTTTTTTTACTGTGTTGTCTGTCGTCGTCGTTCGAAAGTTACAACAACAACAACAATGATGACAACGGGCACAGCTAAAATTGCATATATTTTCGATATTCACTTTTCTCACTTCGCTCTTTTGACTCTTCTTTTGTCTTTATTGGTCACTTATTACTCATTAACACACAACTCTTTTTTCCTCTCGTTTTTACGTCTATTAGATGAATATTCGTTCGTATAGATTGTTTTCTTTTTACTTTTATGTTTTGTTTTGCTTCGATTTTATTCAAATTGCACACTTTTTATGCACATTCAATTGAATGTCACACTTTTGTTTTTGGCCACAAACAATCAATGCACATAAGTGATTTTGAAAAAAATTCAATCGAAATGATTTTGATGTCAAAAATAAAACAAAAATTTGAAACAAAATATGAAATTAGTCTGGCTTTGTTACTGTGTCGATCTTCTCAACAATCACGTTTACGATGTATGTGTATTAATAGTAGATGTTTGCATGTATTTGATTCATATATGCGTTTTAACTTTAAAAAAATGTATCACTTTGACAGTCGTTGCCATACGAATGACGTCTTTTTTATTTACTGTAAGTGTGTGCGTGAAACATGTGCGGCCGCTTGTCAAACTCTATTCTAGTACCACAATATTAAATTCGAATTCGAACGTCCATGCAAATGACTAAGCAGAGCTGAAAAAAATTAATCGAAAAAATTTTGAAAAAAAAAAAAAAAAAATGCGAAATCATTTCATCGTCTTTTTTTCTAAACGCAAAAAATTCAATAATTTTTTTTCTTTTTCACCAAAACATTTACTTTCTTTCTTGTTCAAAACAAACTGATAATGTTCAAATGTGAGCTCCGTACTAGATTTGCACTTGAAGTTCGCACTTAGTGACATTAGCGAGTTGAATGTTTTATCTCGCTCACAAAACCGTGTACAACATCCGTCATAATGATTTTTGTTTGATTCTCAACAAAAAAAGAGCTCAAAAGCATCTTTCGCCAGCTTACTGTGTTTTGTAATTGATTGTGAACGATTTTATTTTATTTGTTTTTATCATTCAATTAGTTATTCTCGCTAATACTTTGTGTGTATACCATTACGGTCGTTTTTAAATAAATAAGAAAAGAAATTGAATTAAAATTAGATTGCAGAATGGATGCAGCAATCGATGTAAAAACGCTTGAAGAAGCGGTCAGCGTGTTTTATCGATCGGGTGCACAACAACAATCAGCTGCACACGATTGGCTTACAAAGGCTCAATTGAGCCCACAAGCATGGTCATTTGTATGGGAATTAATGCAATTAGGCAAGGTAATATAAAATTTATCAATGTTCGACAAGGTAATATCAACTTATGAATGACGAAATAAATATTTTTCTTTTCTCTCATGTGAAAACAGTCATCGGAAATTCAATTTTTTGGTGCCACAACGCTGCATACAAAATTGCTGAAGCATTGGCATGAGGTGCCAAAAGAAAACCGAGAAGAGCTTCGACAAAAATTATTTGCAACCATTATTTTATACGCAAATGGTCCGAAAATTGTTCTGAATCGTCTATGTATCGCGGTAAATACGCTTTGAATAATAAAATCTTTTATTCGAAACATTAATTTAAAATTTGAAATTTTCAGTTAAGTGCATTCATCGTTCACATGATATCCGAGCATCCAACGATGATTGAAGATATTGTGAATACATTTCAAAATGAACGAATGCCAAATGTATGCATCGAAACACAGGCATGGATTTTAATGGACATTTTACAAGCAATCCCCGAAGAGGTACCATATTTCATTTTTGACTATTTTAAGCTGAATTATTTTTTTGGTGACATATTTTATCGATAATTTGGTAAATTTTTTAACATCAAATTTTTATTCTGCCATAGATAAGTTCTATGTATACATCAGTTCAAAGGGTAGCCATACAAAATGAAATTTGCAAGCGAATACCGTTTGTTATAAATACCGTGCAAGAGTTTATTGTTGCACACATTGCGCGCAATGAAAATGAATACAAAGAAGATGATTTACCAACATTACTTCGAGCAGTTAAATGCATAGAGGCATGGTTAAAGTTAGTTTATCGATCCCACTACGATTTATTTGTTTAAGTTTGATCTAAATTCTAATAAAAGTGCATTCATTTTATTCGCAGAAATGGAAGTTTTCCCCTGGATAATTGTGAAGATATAACGCAAACAATGCTTAACTTGATCAACTTGTGCTATTGGAATACAAACGATGCAGCGGATTGTATGACAGCCGATGAAAACGAATTATCGGAAGCATGTATTAAAACACTAACGGTAAATATAAGCATGAATTCTGTATTGGGGGGTAGAGGCCATCCATTGGGGGTAGTGTGAATGAATTCCCTTGTGTTTTGTGTTCTCAATTTAGACCATGCTCATTCAACCGGATGCACATCGATTTCCGAACGCGGCGTTAAATTTGCTCAACATGATAGTGGAGAGTTTGTCAAGAATTACCAAAGATGAATGGAAAGAGAATAACTTGAATGAGGATATTGCATTCAATATTTACACTTTATTCATATCATCGATTGAATGCCATTCGAGACTGCTAATATCTGGTGTGCTAAGCGAAAGCGATCAACATCGTAATTTGTATGAAAAACTGATACAAGAGGTACTTTCGTGCACTGACAAACCCGGCATTTATCCTGTTGAAGAATCATGCAGCATTCTGGCGATGGGATTTTGGTTTATGCTACAAGATGAAGTTTTATCAAATGATAACATCATGCCGATTAAAAATAAAGGTCTTGAATTGATTGGTCCGCTTTATTCACATTTGTCAAAAATACTCGTTCGGAAGGCACAACAACCCGATGACAATGCATTGGAAAAATGGTCGGCCGATGACCTTGAGACTTTTCGATGCTATCGCCAAGATATTTCGGATACATTGGTAAGCTGAAAAAATATTATTTTTCAGGGAATACCGTCAGACAGATTCTGACCCTTCCTTCTGGGCGAGTAGTTCTATCTGACGGTATTCTCTATTATTTTTAATCGAAACAATATAAAATCGTAACATATTTTCCATGAATTTTGACAGCTCTACTGTTTCGAAGTGCTTCATAATCATTTGTTTGAAATTTTAATCACATATCTCGACGAATGCATCGTAAACATTCAACGTGATCCCACGAAATGGACACCATTAGGTTTGTCTTTATTTATTTGAATCATACCGATCGAATTTGGAGCATATTATTCATCTTTCGTTTTCAGAGGCATGTATTTATGCCATATATTCAGTGGCCGAACACATTGATGCCGATGACCGAGTTGGAGTGCCAAAGTTTATAACGATTTTAAGTGAACTGCCGTATGATAAATTGCACGAGAAATTGCTTGGGACCGCATTGGATTCAATAGGTGAAATTTTCGTTAAAATTCTGCAAATTTTAAAAAGAGATCCATTTAATAAATTGTTGTTTTTTTTTATTCAGGTGCGTACAGTGAATGGTTCAAAGACAATCCCACTTATATTCCGCATGCAATTCGCGTATTGGTGGTTGGGTTGAATTCGACTCAAACCGCACAGGCATCGCTTGGTTTGAAAGATTTGTGTCGTGAATGTCAAGTGGATCTGAAACAATATGCCGAACCATTACTGCAAGCCTGTCTGCAAGCAATGAACAATGGCCACTTGATGAAATCGGATGAAGTCCGTCTAATGTATAGCATTGGTAAGCTTATGAGCATGTTACCACCGGAAGACGTACTTCGGTGGTTGGACATTGTTGTATCACCTTGTTTCACTGAACTTCAGTCACTTGTACAAACTAGAACGGTGAGCAATATAATTTTTAAATTGTAAATTTTTGGTGTCCAAAATCACATGAAATTAAATGTTTGCGGTGATTTTCACAGATAACCGAGCCAAGTAAAGTACGCATAAATTTCCGTTTGGATATGATTTCGACGCTGTTCTCATCGCTTAATACCAAAGTTAAAAATATTGATGGAAATGATTCGACAACCCAACCGGTTTTACTCATTATGCAAAAAACAATGCCATTATTCAAGGAAATCGTATCAATTTGGATCAACGAAAATAGTATTATTGAGGTGAGTCGTTTACATTCATTCCAAAAAAAATCCCATCTGATTTCTTTGATTTACTGCTGAACATTTAGGCACTATGCTGCGGTTTAAAATATGCCATCACAAATTTAATGGACGATTTTCATCCAATGTTACCTGACGTGTGTAATTTAATTGTAACAATTCTTCAATCGAAATGCGTTTCACCAGCTATTGATATTTCAAAATCGGTAAATTTACGACAGTTAATTTTTGAATCATTTCCATCACATTTAACCATCTCTCTTTTTATCTCTTCGTATATTTGCAGTGCATATTTTTATATTACAAAAATCCAATTTGTACGCCAATAATGCGGCAATTGTTGATACAAGTGATTTTATATAATTTGCAATTGATTGAACAAACGCCACCATTCGATCGATCTGGCATTTCTGATGTGTTGGAATCGTTTTTAAGTTTTAATGCACTTGTCGCGAAAAAAGTACCAAACGCCTTTGACGACGATGAAATCGACTGCAATAAATTAGTAAATTATGGTAAGTCTCGACATTTCGGCCGAGAAATTCCAAAACATATTTGACATTTTTTTTTTTTTTTCGAAATAGCAATTAAAGTGATGGTATTACCTGAGACTGGAGTGGCAAAGCATGCTGTGGTGTTCTTACAACATTTTATCGCTCAATCGAGAGCATTTCCACGTGCCACCAATGCTATTCTAAAGAATGGCGAAGAACTTATCCATACAACACTGTTATGCATTGGAAGTTTGACAGCACGAACTCATGTCGAAATTTTTGCTGACGTTTTTGTGGCACTCAATAAAAAATATCCAGCTGAATTGATTGCATGGCTTAAATGCTTGCAGATCAACGAATTTCCAACAGCAACAATCTCGAGCGTTGAAAAAGATCGATTTAGGAAAGCCATCATTCGGTGAATATTATTTTTCAAAAATCTTAATCTATCTTCAGCTAACGACATATTCCACTCCGATTTCATTTATTTTCAGTGAAAAAGTGAACAAACGTTTAATTCAAAGTCTAATCCGTGAATTTGCAGCCAAATGTCGTGAAGTATTCATTCAAATTCCGTAGGAAAAAATTTAGATTTTTATCTATTTATGATATCAACAAAACATGTATGTTTAATTGTTTATGCTCATTAAGATTTTACTTTCGGCAATTGTATACAAGAATAGTCACACACAAAACCAATTTTTTTAAAGAAACTGTTCAGTGAAAATAAGCAAACTGTCTCAAATCAACTATAGGACATCAAAATTTTATTCAAATTATATAATACATGTGAATGTGATTTTACCAATTTAATCAAATTATAATATTTTTTAGACGGCAACTGAAACTAAGAGATAAAATTGCATGCAAAAACAAATATTTTGAGTAAATTACGTATACGGAACGTTTTACGGCGAGTCATTGAATTTTGGCGTGATTTTTTTTTTTAATATTAGGAACATTTATGAATAAATAAGGTATGCTTTGATTTATAAAGATTTGTTTGCGTTTTTTTTTCACCATATTTATTTGTGTTTATAAACAAGATTAAAGGGACTCTTTTGAATGGAATCTATGATAAACACTAGAAACTAAATGGGTAAAGTAAATGGTAAGATGTCAATTTTCTTTAAACTATTTATATTATATTGGATTTTAATCTCAATGCCATTTCTCCAGTATGTATAGTAAACAGTAAGAAATTTCTTCTTATTTTGAGTCAAACTGAGGTTGGACTAGTGGAACAAACTATCCTTATGACAAATAATGAGTCTTCATATGCGAATTGAGATTACCTATTTGGCTAAATCGCTTCTTACACCGATTACATTGATATGGTTTCGCTCCAGTGTGAATTCGAATATGTTTATTTAGATCACTCGATGTGCTAAATCGCTTCTCACAATGATCACATTGATATGGTCTTTCTCCAGTATGTATTCTCATATGTCCTTCTAGTGTTGTCTTTGAAATAGTAACATACTTTTTCTTATTTTCAACTCTGTTGCAAAGATAGCACTCATATCGACGTCGTTTACACTCCTTTTCATGTGATTCTTTTTCAATATGTTGTGTAAATCCACGGTGACAACCTGAATAGTGGAACCGACTGTCCTTATGAGTCCTCATATGCAAATGGAGAGTATTTCTATGGATAAATCTCTTCTTACATTGATCACATTGAAATGGTTTTTCTCCAGTATGAATTCGAATGTGTGAAGTGAGGTAATCCTTACGAATAAATTGCTTCTTACAATGATCACATTGATATGGTTTTTCTTCAGTGTGCCTTCGAATATGCAAAGTAAGATGGGTTCTTTGGTAAATCGCTTCTTGCACCGATCGCATTGATATGGTTTTTCTCCGGTGTGACTTCAAATATGCGAATTGAGATTACACTTTTGGGTAAATTGCTTTTTACACCGATCACATTGATATGGTTTCTCTCCAGTGTGACTTCGAATATGCATGGTGAGAACATACTTTTCATTAAATCGTTTCTTACACTGACCACATTTATACGGTTTTTCCCCGGTGTGAGTTACAATATGCGAATTAAGATTACTCTTTTGGGTAAATTGCTTCTTACACCGATCGCATTGATATGGTTTTTCTCCATTATGTATTCTCATATGAATTTTAAGTGAATTTTTTGCAAAAGTAACATACTTTTTCGAATTTTCATCCCTGTTGCAAAGATAGCACTCATATTGACGTCGTACATTATATTTATTTTTTTGTGAAACCCACTTATCAAGAGTCGGCTGAGCACTTCTCACAACATTTCCAGCTACATTCACTTCAACAACAGCTTCGGAAATGTTCACTTCGTTCGTGATTTTGCGGCTTCCATCTTTCGATTCAACTCTTCCCTGAGATAAACGAGATTTCTTTCTGTATCGTTCACATACATTTGTCTTGTTGTTGTCACCAAATTTATCAAAAATATTCGGCGAATTCGATCGCGCACGCTTCGCTCCCTTTTCACTTTTTTCTTTGTTATGATCTTCGTCACTTTCGACACGTACAGAGCAGTTTGGCTCTATCTTATATGCGCCCAATGTCAATTGATTGGCCCTAAAACGAACTATCGGAATCTCATCATTTTCCAATTCTTCTTTTTTTGTTTCCACATTGACCACCTCCCCTACAGAAGCTTGTTCATCGCTTTCATCGTGATCGTCCTCGCTTTTAATCTCTCGATCAACATTTCGGAAAGCAGTCTCTCTGGATGATTGTGAACTGGTATTAGGCCTTTCCACAGAACTTTCATCATCGCTGATTTCAATAATTGGATTTGAGTTGTTATTATCGATTAAAATGTGGGCTACACTTCTAATTTGACGATTATTGAACGATTCACATTCAAATTTGGAATAAATTTCATGTAATCTACAGAATATAAAAGAAGATATTTTCATTAATAAAGGGCATAAAATACAAAATTCAAGGATGAATTACCTGTCGGTTGAGCGCTCTAAACGATATCTCTGATGTGCTTGGTGGAACGATTGACCTGACTGTTTGAAACAGTTACTAATATTTCGTAGCGAAGACGTCACCTGGCGTTCAATGTTCGCCAACATTTTGTTCAGTTCTTCCATCCAATCATCGGACGACATTTTCGAATAATTTTTAATGATGTGATTTTCGGTGACAATTCAAAGGGAAGATTTTGGTTTTGTTTTTTAGATACTTGGAAAAAAATAACAAAATACTCAAAACAGCCGAATATTGTGTTAACCAAAGTACAAAATTGAATTCACTGAATTTCAGAAATTGTTTTCTTAACAAAGACGTGTTCACGACTGAATTTGACGAACTTCTTTTAAAGATTTTAAGTTATTCTACTTCAACAAATAAAATATAAAAATAACTAGAAAGTTTTTAGACGTAATTTGATTAAAAACTACTTTTATGATCCTACACTGTCATAAACGTGACGGGAAATTTTTCAGCCCTGCCTTAGAATTGGCGGTTTTTCAAACAAATTTGTAAAGTGTCCAACCCTGATATCATTCCATTGTGATATGCAGATTCGTATTTATGTATTGATTGGACAGTTTACCATAAAAGATGATGACTAGTTCGGTTGTGGTATTTGTTTTGAGTTAGCCACACTGCAAAAGGACACTTTAACAACTAAAAAATGAATTTCCTTCGTACTTTATTCGAGTTTATTGTTGTATTTTTTAAGTAATTTCTGAAAGCATAAGTTTAAATGATTTAATTGAAATGAATATGTATGAATTGCTGGAGCAAATTATTTTTGCAAGAATGTTCCAAAGTGATATTTCAAATGGATCTAATTGGATTTTTTACAATCTGGTTCTATTGCGGCATGGTATGCAGTCAATTAAAATAGTTCACATGCACAAGCAAGCTTATATTAGATGTTTTCTAATCAAGGCAGGATGGGATAGCGGAAAAAGCTGCAAATCTCTAATTCGATTTGAGAATAACAATGGGATAAATATTCCGTATCCACATGCCAACGTTGTGTGACGTTTCATTATGTATTTGATTGAAACAAACCGCATTGACAACGAATTCATTTACAATTGTATTTCTCGTGTCATGTTATTTAAAATTGGATTTGATATGCACATATGTTTCAATTAAGTGAATGCGATTCTTTTTCAGCTCATCCGTGTCTACGACACTGAATTGAAACGAGTTGATTTATGTGGGTAAATGTCACATTGCATGAAATACAAGCAAGCATGTGTATGTAAATATCAATATTTATTTTCAATAGATTTTAATTTTTCTTCTTTTAAATTGAGCCGGATTTGATAAAAAAATTAACGAAACATGGTCCTGCGTTTCTAAATGAATCCAACTCAAAATTTTATGCCACTTGAGTTATTGCATCCATACAAAACTTATAACCTGAATGGAACACATAAAATTTAGACATCACGTAAGTATATAACTCGATGAGTTTACATTTGAGGAAATGTCATGTTTACTTGATTGAAGAACATTTGAAATTGGACAAAAGATTCGAGAATAAATCCGAAATTAAGTCGAAAAAACATCTCAAGTTACAAATGTGTTTAAGTATTTTTCATTGTCATCATTGCCATCACGGCATTTTGCAATATTTTCACATTAAACTGAATCAAACAAAGTCGAAAGAATTCATCGATTTTTAAAAAGTGTATTAAAAAAAAAGAAAAATTGAACAAAGAATAATTTCGATTGTAATCTTTTAATAACCCTAATTTATTCAGATGGCATTCATTCAAAGTTTTGTGACGTCACAATGTATTTATTTGGGCAGCGATCGACCCTCGAGCCTGTCTTTAAATCAATAATTTATTAGAATAAATTGTCGAATTTTCGAATCGTTATTTGATTCCTGTTCAAGGCCTACGAATTTCATTTATATTACAAAATCAAAATGATCACACTTAATAGATAACAATACAAATCTTGATTTTCAATTAAAAATTTGATTTCTTAATATAAATGTAATTCGCAGGCTCCAATTATTGTTTTAAACATAGACTGAGTTGGCTTGAAACTATTATTAATGTCAATAATTTTGTTTTTATAAACAACAACTTCACATAGAACTAAATAAAATGTTCCTACATACAAATCAAGACAACCGTGCCACATTTACAGTCCTGCGCTACGTTGATCAAGACATAGATTGTTTAACGTATATTTGTCAGACAATCTTTTCTAGTGCAGCATTATCTTTCGAGTGTAATCTATTAAAAAAAAAAGTTAAAAAGACAATAAAATCATTTAAGCTTATCAATAATAAACGGTAAACAATGGAGGGAGGTGTTAAATTGTTAAGGTGAAAGCGTCCATTTCATTTGATTACCCAAAAGTCTGGTATTCTTTCAAAATAAAAAACATTAAAACAAACGACCATGAAGAATATCGCATACAAGATTTTCCCGAATCAAAAACTGAAGAAGCATTAACATTTATGGTTCATTATTACTGTAAATATGAACCACTTTGTGAAGCCTACGGTATCGGTATCTTTCATTTCTATTGTTGAAATATACTGTAGCCAGTATCATTTTCAGATTTGATCAACGGTGTTTTGGCGAACGGTCATCGATCAAAAGACAGTTTTAGTCTGTTTTAAAGAGGGATCGGATGATATTGTTGGCATAAATATGAACTATGTCGAATATAAGGATGATCATTTCTATGAATGTGTTCGTCAGCAGGTAAATGCAAATTCAGCATTATTGTACGCACTTTTATCAGCTACTTTTATTCAGTTGAAATTTGAAGGAGTGTTCGAGGAAAGTTAAATTTAATAGAATAAAATACAATCAACTCAGTGCGAATCGGGTGGAATAAGTGTTTTTACTTTTCCGCACACATAGTGTAAGGTGAAAAGTATTGTAATCGGTCAAAATTTTGAAAACTTCAGAAACATGTTTTCTGGACGTTTCTGAGGTCAGAGAACCCGAATTAGGCCGTTTTGAGCATTGTTTATGTTAATCTGTACGTCGTACGTTGTACGTCGTACGTTGTACGTCGTACGTTGTAC